GCAAGAAGCCACGGTGCACCAAGCGCGCAGTTTCTCATCAGAGCAATCTTGCACGACGGCCTCGGACTCGGAATCCTCTTGCGCCGGCTTGGCCTTGCTGAGGGGCACCTGGCAAGGCCGTCTGGGCATTCTCAAGCTTTACACATGGTCGTCAGGTTGTGACTGCTAGCATGGGTCTCCCTGCTCTGCCTGCGCAGTGCCCTTGATTTGGCTGCCTTGACGAGGCGCTGGTTCATCATCTTCCTGACTAAGAAAAGTGTGATCAAAACATCCCGTCCTCCATATACCTCCTACCCAGTAACATGCCGCAAGTCTCTATCACGCAGCATCTCGCCACTACAGTACTACCGTCCTCCTCGTCTTCGTCCGACTCCTGTGCTGCCTTGGCTGCGGCCTCCGGGCTTACTTGTGGTAAGCTGCAGCATGCGGCAACATGCGCTCGGCTGTTGTTGCTTCTGCTCTTGATGGAAAATACCAGCGGCCTTCGTCGCAGCTGTTCCTGGCTTGTCCTTTGCAGCTGGCATTTTCTTGTCGCCGTCCGGCTTCTCATCGTCCTCCGCCAGAGGCCACGGTGCACCAAGCGCGCAGTTTCTCACCAGAGCAATCTTGCACGACGGCCTCGGACTCGGAATCCTCTTGCGCCGGCTTGGCCTTGCTGAGGGGCACCTGGCAAGGCCGCCTGAGCATTCTCAAGCTTTACACCTGGCTACACCTGAACGTCAGGTTGTCACTGCTAGCATGGGTCTCCGCTGCCTGCGCAGTGCCCTTGATTTGGCTCGCTTGACGAGGTGGTGGTTCATCATCTTCCTGGCTATGAACATGCGGCCATAAATCCGGACCTCCTTGCCAGACGTCTCTATCATGTCGCATCTTGCTACTACTACCGGCCTCGTCTTCGTCCGACGCCTGTGCTGCCGTGGCTGCGGCCTGCCAAGTTGCAACAGTGATCAGCTCCACTGCTTCTGCTCTGCTAGAGATTACTCGCCTTCCTCGCAGCTGTTCCGTTGCCCGGATTCACCGTATAGATCCACGGCATCTCGCGGGGAAAACGACGATAAAGTGCCGCAGGGCCACAAGAACATTCAGCTGCAGAGGGAAACGCCCCAGAACAAGATCAAACCTTTGATAAAGTGCAATAATCTGACGGCCTCGGACTCGGATTCCTCCAGCACCGCATCTGCGAATGGTTCTTCGCCATCAGGCCACCTGGTGTCTTCAAGCATGAGCATGCGGGCACTACCTGCATGCTGCCCTGGACTTGCCTTTTTTTCGGTGTTGGTGGATCAGAAAAATCCTTCCAATGTGCCGGAGGTTTCTATCATGCCACATCTTGCTACCACTGCCGTCCTCTTCGTCGTCCCAATCCCGAACTGCCTTGGCTGGAATTGCCTTGGCTGCGGCCTCCGGGCTTACTTGTGGTAAGCTGCAACATGCTGCAACAGCGCTCGGCAGCACTTCCTTCTGCTCTTGATGGAAAATACCAGTGGCCTTCGTCGCAGCTGTTCCTGGCCTGTAGCCGTCCGGCTCCTCATCGTCCTGCGCAAGAAGCCACGGTGCACCAAGCGCGCAGTTTCTCACCAGAGCAATCTTGCACGACGGCCTCGGACTCGGAATCCTCTTGCGCCGGCTTGGCCTTGCTGAGGGGCACCTGGCAAGGCCGTCTGAGCATTCTCAAGCTTTACACCTGGCTACACCTGAACGTCAGGTTGTCACTGCTAGCATGGGTCTCCGCTGCCTGCGCAGTGCCCTTGATTTGGCTCGCTTGACGAGGTGGTGGTTCATCATCTTCCTGGCTATGAACATGCGGCCATAAATCCGGACCAGTCTCTATCACGTCCTCCTCGTCTTCGTCCGACTCCTGTGCTGCCTTGGCTGCGGCCTCCGGGCTTACTTGTGGTAAGCTGCAACATGCGCTCGGCAGCACATGTTTCTGCTCTTGATGGAAAATACCAGTGGCCTTCGTCGCAGCTGTTCCTGGCTTGTCCTTTGCAGCTGGCATTTTCTTGTCGCCGTCCGGCTCCTCATCGTCCTGTGCAAGAAGCCACGGTGCACCAAGCGC